CTGTACATTATTGTAATTATCCAGCTTCTCGCCCTATAAGAAAGTCTGCTAACCATTACTCTAAAGCAAAGACAGCTGAAATAGCTAACTTTCTCATTTCTTACGCTTTGGGTCAGGATACAAAATGGGTCACATGTTGAACTATATTGAGAAAAACTGCTAGCAATGTTTGTGTTATGGTTACTTAGGAGACCTGCTGTCCTAACTTGGAAAATTAATTGTAATACTGAAAGGTTAGAGACATGGTTGGCTATATTGTAGTAATCTATCTAGATAACATGCAAGAGAACAAATGACACATTTCATGATATGCTCAGGACATGCTCAGACTTTCTTAATGTACACTGTTGCCCATAAAGTTGGATTAACATGTGTTTTACCATACTGTGAATAGGAATACAAAGAGGAATGTGTCTGTAAAAACAAAGTTATTCCAACTTTATGGGCAACAGTGTACTTTAAAAAGACAAATGGAATGTTTGAGAAGTTGGTGAGATGAATAACAGTTCATGTCATGCAATATAACAACCAGTTCCTCCTGTCACTTTCTGAATAAACCTTTTAACTTCTCCTTTTATAAAAGTTCCTTTGTTAAAAACTTTAAATCAGCCCCTGCGGTTATCTTAGTTTAATAGTTGGCTCCGGAAGAAGCTTGTTACACACTGTGTGAATTAGTCTCATGAAGTGAGGCCTCATTGTTAATATTATACTTATATTTTCTAAGAATGAGGCTCATTATGAAGTCATTCAATTCTGCTTTTGTCTCAATTGACAGCTCATTATCTGAACTGTCTTCACTCCCACCTCCTAATCTCCTCTCTCCCCCTCCCAGCCTGCAAACCTCTGTGTTCATAGCAGCAGAGGTGGAAAGTAACTAAGTACATTTACTTTACTTATTCAAGTGCTCTACTTAAGTATCATTTCGAGGTACTTGTACTTTACTTGAGCATTTCCATGTTTCTGTATACTTCTACTCCACCACATTTAAAAGGGAAACAATATCATTTTACTCCACTACATCCATTTAACAGCTTTAGCTACTTTGAATAAAAATACATCTCTATTGCAAACTAGTGGACTAAATCTTTGAATCGCAAAGTGTCAGATTATTTAAATATTTAACAAAAAGTGACTCAGGACTGTGTTTGTCTACAACAGTAACATGCTACTGGATGCAGCAATATTATCCAGAAATGTCACATATAGTATATATGGCCCAGTAAGTACAATTATATACACAGATGATGGCCATTTTGATCCCCTATGATTGCTTTTGATAATACTTTTGCACTTTTACTTAAGTCACATTTTGAATGCAGGATTTTTACTTGTAATGAAGTGCTCTGACTAATGGCACTATTGCTGAAGTAGAGCATCTGAGCACTTCTTCCAGCTGTGTGTAGCAGCATCAACCCTCACGTCCAACACGCATGTGAGAGTTGTTCTTCATGAAGACAGTGTGTGTTTGTGGTTGATGTTAGCGTGACTCAGTCCTTGTGACATCTCTCTCTCTGCGAGGCATTACTGAGACAGAGAGGCACCTCTACAGTAACCCTACACTGTGTGTGTGTGTGTGTGTGTGTGTGTGTGTGTGTGTGTGTGTGTGTGTGTGTGTGTGTGTGTGTGTGTGTGTGTGTGTGTGTGTGTGTGTGTGTGTGTGTGTTGTTCTCAGTTATTGCATCATTGTGTCATATAATATATGACACAATGATGCAATAACTGAGAACAACACACACACACACACACACACACACACACACACACACACACACACACACACACACACACACACACANTGGTTACACAGCAGTTTGTCTTTGATAGGCTCAACAGAGAGGTGAGAACAACACACACACACACACACACACACACACACACACACACACACACACACACACACACACACACACACACACACACACACACACACACACACACACACACACACACACACACACACACACACACACACACACACACACACACACACACACTAGTACTACTACTACTATATAGTATACTAGTACGTACGTAGTAGTAGTAGTAGTAGTATA